AAAAATTCCCTCTTAACTAATGCTGTGTTTAAGTACCTTTAATCTGCAGGGACTTTGCCACTTGAGTGGGATACTGGGCACCTTGAAGAATGCAATAAACCCAAGCAGAGCTCTGTGGTTTAGCCTCTACCTGTTGTTTGAGACATGAGGCATAAGAGATAGGGCGGAAAAAAATCATAATTTTTATATAAAATCCTTAAATGCTCATCCTATCTGTACTGATGGAATGGTTACTTCATGTCTAAAGCCCAGGCCACCTCCTTCCCAGCTCAGTTCAGAGTCTCAAAGATGGTGAAGAAAGAAAAAACACTTTAGGTCAGGAATGTGGACTTAACTCCTCATTGCTGGGGAGCTCAGACCAAGGTGCCCCCACAATTCAGGGTGGTTTCCCCCTGTGGAGGAGCAAAATGATCTATCTCAGGCATATGCCCTTTCTGTGGGCTGGGGTGCCTGCTTTACTCAGAAGCTGCTGAGGAGTCTCAGTTGAGCTGAGGGCAGTGTCCCCAGCCAGGGGCAGGAGCCAGGGCAAACTCTTTGGCTGCTGGGGGCAGCTGCCCTCCTCGCTGGCATGCTGGGGTGACAGCCAGGCCTTTTCTTTCTCAGCATCTGTGTGCAACCAAGGAATTTTCAACCACATCATCCTAATCACATCCATATTTATTGCCTGCTGTTTTCTTACAGTAAGGTAACGCCTCCTTATCTGCTTCAGATCCAACGCCTCCTTATCTGCTTCATAGCTGTCGCTATGGTTTCTCCATGTTCTCTGCACTTCTCAGGCTTCTACCAGATCTGTCTTCTAGGGTTAAAAGAGATGTTTGGACTTCTAATACCAAAAATAAATGGTAGCATCGGGAGGTCTGCTTGCTGAGCGTGGTTCAGATCAAACCACCAAGCTCTTAAAGGCTCGTGGAAGGGTTCAGGCTCTGAGCCCCAAATAACAGGCACATTACTTTTCCAGCTCAGGGATTTGTTTGCAGGAATGGAAGGAAGTACCAGCTGCAGGACAGGAGTCTGTAGTTCGCCTCCACTGCCTCAGCTGGGGGAGAGTGTAGTCCCCTCTGCTCTGAGCTGCTCCCAGAAACAATATTTGTTTATATTGGCTTAACCATCCCAAGGGATAAAATTACTAGGAAATGTTTACAAGGACCATTTGAAACCTGAGAAGAGGATGTTTTTAGTAATGCAGAAAGAGCCAAATACCTTAGAAGATAAATATTCCAGCTTTAAGAATTAATTACTGCTTCCCAGTACTGCAGGCTCACAAATAACCTTGCGCAATTTCCCGGACAGATACATTTTAATGGAAATATTGTGCACAGGTCAAGAGCAAAATAGAGCTGCTGAACCAGGACCCCACATGCTTGGATACGTGGGTGCCTCATCCCAAACACTTGCCTAGCAAAGCTCAAAGGGCAGAGCATGGGGCTGGAGCAGCCACCTCTACACAGCAGCTCACACCGTGAGGGTCCCTGGTGAGGATTGCTCCTAGGGCTGGTTATTTTCTGTCACAAAGGAAAAACGTGGATAGCAAACAACCAAGCACATTTTTCAAAACAGCAGCTATGACATCTATGAAGTGCTGTAATCATTATGCAAAATTCACTATGTAGCTTTTCAGTTGTAAATCAAGTATCACAGGGCACTGAAATGAAAGCTCAATCTCCATATCCTAATTTTTCTTTTGGAAATGTGGGAAGATAGTATATAGCTGATTATGCTCCACAGTATACACTGGCATAACAAGTCACAATATACATTTATTATTCTTTCAGTTAAAAGCATCAAGCATTGAATGTAATAAGAAAATTTCATGAACCAATTCCCTCAAAACCATTTTCAATAAAAAGTCTTTGCTTTCTCCTTCTTTTTAGATAGGCAAGATGAGGAGAGTGGTGGAAGAGCGAGCCTGAGAATCAATAGGGAAATCTGAATTGTCATTAATTACCCCATATCCAGTCTGAGCTGCTGTTTTTGTGAGCCATGCTCTACCCATAACAAGGTTTTCAGGGATGTCACTGAAGGTACCTCAGGGACACAACTCTTTGGAGTTTGGTGCAGTGGCCCAACAACAGCATCACCCTCAAAGATATTGCTCCTAGAAGGACAACGGACTTTGGATCCTCACTTCAGGAGAAACTGAAGAGATCCTGCTGCCATACTGATGTGAATCACCAGTGTTCATGTGCTAAGTGCAACTGCCATAAAAGGTCACCTTTGCCTAAAGGATTTAATTCTGAATGTATTCAGACCTTCCATTCACCAAAACCTAATGAAGTCCCACAGGAATAAAATAATTTTACAGGAGATTCATGCATGGGATGCAGATTTGTTTCCAGTCATCCATCCATCCATCCATCCATCCATCCATCCATCCATCCATCCACATCTCAATCACTTTTGCTCCCTGTCTGAAGCTTGAACCCAACTTTTGCCCATGGTGTGAACACAGTCCTTGTTCACAGTCTGCCTTGTCCACAATATAAACATATAAACAAACCACAGGAAACAGCATGAACCTGCAGCATTGACCATTTCCTGTGCTGAGAGGCAAGCCCCCATCAAGAGACAGTGGGGAAGCAGCCTTGGTCCACGTGCAGAAGTGGGGCAGAAAATAAATGGGACATCCATAAAGCTTTTTGAAGAAAACATCCCTATCTTTGTCTAGGGATGTGCAGCTCCTGAGCTGAAGTGCACAAAACAGGTTGATGGCAGCTGCTATTTTAAAATTCATGAAGCCTTAAAGCATTACTGGATGATTTCAGAGCTTGGAGATAAGTAGACAAAATAGTCCAACAGGGGGGAGATGCTGATGTAGTAGCAGCCATAATAGTGTGTGATGCTGCACACATCCCTGCTTCTGAAAACCCACTCATCCATCTTGTCAGGGAAAATTGCTGTGATTCTGTTTCCTAGCGGAGGTGGTGGGAGGAAAGAGGCAGATGCATATTTTCCTCTGATCAAGGAGAAAAGGCCAGGCTATGCACCACTTACCCTCCTGAAGCCACCTGGCCCCCTCTGTGGAGGGCTTAGAGACTGGGGGTGGCAAGTATTCAGTAGGGAAGGCATAAGTGACATGGCCCAGGAGAAACCAGGCTTTGGAGCTGCTCTGCTAGTACTTGTGAGATGCTTTGCCCTCCCTGCCCTGGTGTGCCCCTCTCTGCTCAGGACTTTGCTCCAGCTTTACAGGACTGAAGAAAATGCTGGGGTAAAATGTATTGGGAGCCAACAGGTTCTTCCTGTGCCTTACCTGTCAGCTCAGGGTTGAAAACTTCTGGGTGAGACTAGATCTGTGCCAGCCAGAGAAAGTTCAAACAGAATAAATGCCTAATTTATGTACCTCTACCCAAAAACGTTACCCAGAGTGGAACAAAGGAGCTGCTGCCTTAAGTTGGAGGCATATCAGAGCAGCCATCCCTCCCTGCCATCGACATGCCCTAATCATCCAGATTCCCCATACACCCCTGAGGGGCTCATCCTGCTCCTGACATGTGGCAGAAGCAGCCCAGGAGCATGAAAAGCATGGGATGGAGACAGGAGGTTTTGTGCCTTTGACCTGAGCATGGGTACCTACATAGCAAGAGCCATCTCTAGCTTTTTTCCATGAGAGAGAGAGAGATAGGGAAAATGACTGCATTTATCCCCCGGCTCCTGCCCATCCCTGCCCCTTGAGTGCCCACTGGTTCCTGCACAAACTCTTCCCACGTACCAGAGTGGGGACCCAAGCTCCTGCTTTGCCAGGGGCAGTGGGAGGCACCTAAGTCCATGTCTAATGTGATTTTTCACCTGGCCATTGAGGACCATGGTGAGATGCAACTTGCCCAATAACATTACCTGCCCCTTTAGCATATTTTGTACCGTGTGTGCACTGAATATCTTTAGCAACTTGCTTGGTGAAACTCTGTACTGGATATATGAGTAGGAAATAATTTCCAAAGACAAAAGCTGCAGGTTAAAAAACAACTGAAACTACCAGAGTGGTATTTTCTCTTGGAAACAATTTGTGAAACAAGATGGTAAAATGTTCCACAAATATCCCACTTGTGACTTTTCAATTCCTCTTCAAATTTCCCCATGGACACATGGTCCATGTGGTGAGTTCAAGTCTGCCAGGGACACGCTCATTCTCACCAACCCCATCATCCTGCTTCCCTCAAGAGTTTTGGACCCAGCCTGCAGTCTCAGTTTCAGTCTGTTCCTGAAGGTCTGGGTATCAGCTCTCCTGTGCCCTTTGGCAGGGCAGCACAGGGCCTTCAGGAAGGAGACACACAGGTGCCATGCCTGGACTGATGTGCACAGAGTCCCGGCTGGGGAATAGTGCTGCTGGCACCCCACACCCTGCCCAGGCTCACACAGACCTCTGGTGCTTCTGCACAGAGCACTGTCTTTAACTCCCTCAGTCCCCCTCCCCTCAATTACCACCACCAGGAAGACTCAGATGCAGACAAAGAGTAAAGGTGGCCCAGGAAGCTTCAAGGCCCAGGGATCAGAAACAACAGGAACTGCGAGGCACAACACCTACCTGCCTTTCCTAACACAAGGAAAGAAGGAAGTGGTCTTTTGACTTAATCTGTGATATTTTATAAAATAAAACCTCACACAGCTTTGAATTTATAAAATACCAGCACAACCTGGAGTTGTGTTTGAGTGAGGACAGCGAGCTTCCCCTGTACAGATTAATCCACTTCCACAATTTCTACTCAGCATGGAGTAGTTTTATTTCTTACATACATAATTCAGAGGTATACTGGAAGGGCAAAACCTATATTCCATGCTCAGACATCCACCATACAGTTAATAAAACCCATTCTAGTATGGTTTAGACTTTATGCGAAGTAAAAGTAAAATCTGACCTGTTTCCAATAGCTACAAAATTACTCTGGGGAAGATAAAGATGTGATTCCTTTTAAATGTAGCTATTTTCTGTCCAAGGAAAAAGTCCTACGCATCAGTCCTTCCTATCATACATCTCCAGAGAAAGCAACAACCCACCCACACACTCCTCTGCTGTGGATTGCTCAGCACTTTGTTCCACGGCAATCTGTAGGAGAAACTCAACCCTCCTGTTAAATGCTTGAGGCTCAAATGATTAATTCTGTAGAACAGATCTCTAAGGCACATCAGAAATTGGAGCTCATTCCTAATGGCCTATCAGCATTCAGGCTATTACAGGTGCAAGCAGAACAGCAGCTTTGAGGGAGGATGCAGTTCTGCTATAATCAGATTTCTTACAGGCATTTTCTTATTTAATAGAGCTTTTTTTTTATCTCCTACAAAGTTTTTCACCAAGAGCTTTCCAAGCATTGTATAAAGGCAGGTAATGATTTACATCATTAACACTCCCATTTTACAAACAGGAAATTGAAGCTTCCAAAGAAAATCATGAGTGGCTTAATACAGAAAATCCCAGTCCCCCCAAAAAAGAAAAGGAATCAAAGCCTCCTGCCAAAAGTCCCCTTTCCAACTGCCTTTATTTAGTTGATATTCAGCTTTTTTTTACCTTTTTTTTTCTTTAAAAATAACCCAACCAGTCAAATGAGAGAACAGCAAGGAAATTGCAAGCTTTGACATACTTACTTCTACACTGCTGGCATTAGTACAAAAATAAAGATTTTTATTAACTAGTTTACAAAAATAAGTTCTATTGAGTCCCGGAGGATGTCATTGGGAGGTTTACTTGACTTTGGAAGACAAAGCCTGTTTGAAACGTCTCTTTAGATCTTGCATGTTGGGAGATTTGGGCCGAGGGATGATGGATGACCGCCTCCTGTCCGTGCTGCCGGCATGCTGTAGTTTGCTGACCTCCTTGCAAAGATACTGGAAGACATCACAGACACCTTGGGAGTCCTCACTGGTGGAGATTTCCAAGAACAGGCTGCCCAGTTCATCTGCCAGCTGTAGTCCCTCTTTTGCCTGTACTTGCCTGGCGTGGAGGAGGTCTGCTTTGTTCCCCACGATAATGATGGGAGTCCTGGCATCGGGGTGCACCTTGCGGATGTGCTGGTAGAGAGGCTGGACTGACTGGTAGCTGCTGTAGTCGGTGATGGAGTAGACCAGCAGGAAGCCCTCTGCCCACTTCACGCACCGGGACAGGGAGTCCAGCACCTGCACGCAGTCTTCCTGCACCTGCGGTACAACACAGAGCACAGATGCGGCACTGGGTCATGAAAGCATCACAGCACCATCAAGGGGTCCAAAGGGAAGCCTGAGCTCTGTCTCAGGAGAAGAAGTCTGGGCATGCATGAAATTTGGGCTCAAGAGCTGACCCTTTAGGTAGCAGACGACAACCGATTAATCCAAAATATCTCCGTACCTGAATGCATCCCGGCGTGTCTTGGATCTCTAGGGCAACGTGGTCCCCGTCGAGATGGACCAGCCGGGAGTAGAGGTTTCCTGGGGAGCAGAGAGCCGTGAGTCCCGGCCGCGGGGCCCCGCCGCGCCCGCCCCGCCGCGCCTCACCTCACCTGTGTTGGGCTCGTAGTCACCGATGAAGCGCTTGGTCAGGAACCGCACGATCATGGCTGAAACACAGAGCGCCGCGTTAGGCGGGACGGACGGACGGACGGGCAGGGGAAGAGGACGGGCAGGGGAAGAGGACGGGCAGCCCCGCACTCACCGCTCTTGCCGACGCCGCGGGCACCCAGCACGGCCAGGCGGACCTGGGCGCCGGGCGGCCCCGGGGGGCACTCGGCGATGGGCGCCAGCAGGAAGGGCTGGGACATGCCCGGCAGGCGCATGGGAGAGGCGGCTCGGCAGCCGGAGGGCTCGCACGGCTCGGCTCCGCTCCGCTCCGCTCGGCTCGGCCCGGCCGGCAGCGCCCGGAGCGCACGGCCCCGGCGCCTTTTAAAGGCCCCGGCGGCGGCACCGCCCGTGGGGCCGCCCCGCTGCCGCTGCACCGCCCCGCGGCACCGCCCCGCGGCCCTCCCGCCCGACTTGCCCACCCGGGCTGTAGCCCTTCCCCTTTCTTCCACCCTCCCCGCTCCCGGGACGTGGGGTGGCCCCGCGGGCACAGGCACCAGGGGTCTGGCGGGCTGCCTGGGCAGGCCGTGCAACCTGCGTCCCACGGTAGGGGCAAGCGCCCTGCTGAGCATCCCCCTGCCCGAGGAAGACGGACAAATGCGCCACCCTCCCTGCAGTGAGGGACTCCGGTCTTGAAAGAAAGGAAATTATTATTTTATCTCAGACTATTTTGTTTCCACACTCAAACATATCCTTCTACAGCCAGTGTTGAAAACTCAGCTTGTGGATCAAACAACAGCCAGCCCTGAAACCTAAGCGGTCTTGATTGGGCCCTCTGGGCTCTTGAAGTAGAAAAGCTTTGGAGAAGAATGGTGCTCCACCACGGGCTGCCCTTAAATGAGCCTCAGACATGCAAGCAGCTGTGCAGATGCTTCAGTCTCCACAAACCAATGCCCTAGCTCCTGCTTCTGCTCTGTGCTGCCTTGCAACAGTGTAAGTGCTTAAAAGAGAAATAATCCGTTCAGAGGCTGCTTTCATTTTTATCAGGGAGATAGCACATGCCAGCAGGATACAACATGGAAAAGGATGGTACTCAAATGGACTAATCTCATGGCACAGAGAGATGAGTGCTGCTGGGCCCCAGCTCAGGTTGATGCTTAGACAGCCCAGCTGACGCTGGATGCTCACACACAGGCTGCTGAGTTAGGACAATGCTAATTAACATCAGTTAAAGTAGTACATGCAGAAAAGCATGGTGGAAGAAACACTGTTGATTGTGCTACTCTAGTGCCCAAGAACCCCTATGGATTTCTTTTAACTTCCAAAAGCTATTGCCCCTAAAATTTCTACTTTACTCCCCATCATGTCAGCAAGCTCTTTTCTTTTGGGAAAGAAAATTTCTCCTGTATCACTAAAAGCTTTTGGTTTCCAGAGGTTCCGCTATTGTCACCTGCTCCTATTGTCAGGGGATCGCTTGTCTTTGGCCTCACTCACAGCAGCTATTTTTATACACTTCTTTACAAAAGAGCTATCAGAGTAATTCAGTGTGCCTCTGAAAGAATGCCACTGAAACAAGTCCGTTCCAGGCAGATGATTCCCAGGTGCTGAGCTGTGAGTCCTTCTCAGACCTTGAGGAGCTCTCTTTCTGGTTAGCTGTATGACTCCAGCTGCCTTGCCTGCTGCTGGGAGCACCCCCAAAGGGCAAATGGGGGTGGTCAAGCAGAGATAACGTTGCCCAAGCCCAGGCAGGAACCCTGTGAAGGAATTACTGTCCAGAGTGTGATGGACTATGTCTCCATCAACACCTACCCAGGTGTAACAGGAGCAGCTCAGTAAATTGAAGCAGTTGGGGACCAGATTAGCTGTCCCCATGCTGCAGACGAAGCACCCCTGGGATGTGTGGAGCTCCAGGCAATTCCAAGGGGCCTTTCTCTGCTCTGCAGGCCCCACTTGGAAGTGCCAGGCTATACTTTTTTACCCACCCTCTGTGAATGGCCCATGCCACTATCCCTAAGGCCCATCACTACGCCCTTTCCCTCAGCAGCACTGCTCAGTGCCAGTTATCCCATACTGCTGCCTGACACCTCTCCCTGTTCCAAGCTGTGGCAACGTTCAACAGCAGTACTTTTGGCTTGTTCCTGTGATGGTGGCATGAAGGACATCCTGAGAACATCTGGAGCTTCCTTTTTTTTATTTTTCTGGGTTCCTAAGCTGTATGGGTGCTGGTGGGTGCAATGTTCCCACCCCATGCAGCCTCTGAACTGACAATGGGTCCTTCCTCCCCCTTCCCAGTCCTGCCTTTTCACTGACCTTCCCTGCCTAACACTGCCTACACAGTGCTCAGGAAACCTCAAATCCTGGTGTTGCCAATAGGCTATAAAAGGTGAAGCTGAAGCTCAGAAGACATCTTCCTTGCTGCTTCTAGGAGACAACAGGAGATTTTGCCAGGGCTTTTGGCAAGGAACCAGCAGTAAAAGTTCGTGGCTGTAAAGGGCCTCAGAACAGGACTGCAGAGAACTGGTTACAGCTTACGGGTTTGGTGTGTAAAACCCTTCCAGGGCAAGCGGAAACTGGTGACCCCAAACCCTGTAAGGAACATGCTTCATGTTTCAGCTCAGGACTGGAGATGTCCCGACAGGCAGTTCTTCAGCTTTTCCCAATTCACAGATCTCCCTCTTTCGTCAGGATTGTGCAAAAACAGGGCAGCCGAACACACAGGAAGCAAACTTCAGCAGCCGAGATCAGGTACTCAGATCTGTTAAGTGTCTGGGCTGTTTCTACAAACTTCAGATGAGCACGAAAATCCCCACTGCACTGAGTGCAACAAACAGACAGGTTACACCTTAGTTTATTTGTCCTGTTTCCAAATACTAAAAACCAACAACAAAAAAAAGGTTATTTTCTCCCTGTACAAACCCAGCTTCATTTTCAGTCATTTCTGGGAATCCTGGCCAAGGAAAGCCTTCCCAACCTCTCCTCCCAGCCCACACAGGGCTTTCAAATATGCATTTACAACCAACTACCGTTGGCATAGTGACCTTAAAAACACTTTTTCTAAATGAATTGGAAAGTGTTGCAACGCAGTGTCTCTGGGAGCACAGATGTCAAACAAGACCACTGTAATGTTGTCCAGTCTTACTATTCCAAATTGCTGTAAGTTCAAAAGTTTAGAACTATGCCCCACTTACGATGTTAATCATTTCATCATGTTGCTACAGCTAATCCGCCGTGATTTTGACAAATGAGTACTAACCAAATACAGACCCAAAATAGCTTAGACATGCATGCATGAGAAGCAAATTTAAAATGCCATCACCAGTTTGTATCCAATAGCCTCCCACTTAATTCCTACAAAGCCTAGTGGAAAATGATGCTTATCTTGTAAGGCAAATACCAATTTTAAATGGCTGTGGAAAGTGACAAGCCAAAGAGGTTGATAAAGCACACAAATCCTGCTGCTCCAAGAAAAGCCCCTTGACCATAAAAGCCAAGTGCATATAGTGCAACAGTGAGGGCTTCAGGATACAGTGGAGCACTCAATGTCCAACACCTCCAGTGTCAGAATACACCTCTATGTCTATGGATCAGCCTGCTAAGGGGCAAGTTCCTCCAAGTCACTTCCAAAGTCCTTCCACCTATACAGCCTGCTGCATCTTCTCAGATGGGAGCTTGGAGAACTTCAAACACAATCTGCCCACTGGAACTTGCAAACTCCAGCCCATCCAATCTAAAGCCCATCACCATTAAATATACCAGCCCAAGCCAGACTCTGAATTCAAGGTCCAAAACCTACATTCCATGAGAATGGGAACACCCACGATTGAGTTAGGTAAAAGCAAACCTCATCATCTCTGTGTTCCTTACTCCCACACTTACACTCTGCCCTGCAATTCACTGTTCAGTAACTCTCAACAGTGAACACCTACAAACAGCTTGAGGTCACTTGCTTCTCCAGTACTTCTCTCTCTCCACGCAGACATTGGTTTTACATCACTTACTGAACACAGCTGAGCAATGCCTGACACGACACTTCAAGGTAAACTATTATTTACCTGTAAATACAAAACAGTTAAGCCTGAGACTGTGCTTCCAAGGCTAACCAAGCAGGTTTCCTACAGCAGTCTCTAGCAAGCTTCACCCGATTTCAAGCAAAGCTCGCTAAACTAGCACTGGTTAGTAAACAGTCAGCTGAAGATCTTCTTCCATTTAAGAACAGCACAGGTAGGACTGGGCTTTTGTGAGACATCAGTAAATCTGGGATGAGAGGGATTCACTGCAGCATTCAACAGGCATGCAATAAACATATGAAATACAAGTGTTTAGTAGCTATGCCAGCCAATTAAAGTGTTAAAAATCAAAATAAAGTCTGGCAGTTTTGGAATGAAACCCTTATTTCTAAACTACTACGATTTTCCAAGAATGCTTATTGGCACGGGGATGCTGTAAACACTATTTTGCAGGTTACACTGGTGGAAAACCAAAATTTGCTTCCAGACATTTCCCTAGACATTGTTTTCAAAAATGGTTTCAACAATTCATCAGTATTCATGAGGCCCCTTAGCCAAAACCTTGCATCAACCTTGAAACATCTCATCTCTTTTCCTACAAAAAAAAAAAAAAAAAAAAATCAAGCCTTCAAGTGGCACTGGGCAATTCTTGATACGAGTTCTTAGTCTGCTGGTGAAATATTCCATGTCCCCTCATAACAGCTCATGATCATACTAAGCACTAGCAAATTTCACTGCTCCCTGCATTTATCATCTATATAAATGACAGGACTCGTCAGCAAAAGCTGCAGATGATTTAAATGACTAAGCATCATGGTAAATGCAAGCTAAATAAATAAACTTCAATAAAAGAAGGCCTCTAAAGCATCTGTTCAAACAAAAAAGCCCCAAACCCAACTAAATGAATCAGCCACAATCACATACACTTGTCCAAAACCATATCTTTAGTTTATTTTTTAAACATACATTATGCCATGAATTCATAAGGAATTGGCTCCAGCAGCTCTGGATCCTTGCCATTAGTTCTCACAAAGTGTGCTTCTCTTGGTGGAGCAGGCTATAAACAGAAAAATAAAAAATGAAAACTCATGACATTACAGCTCAAAAACATCTTTTCAGAAAATAACATTTTGTCAACCATTTAGCGCCTTATTATGTAAACATTACAGCAATTTTACCATTCCTAGTCTCATAAATTTGATTCAAGGAGTAGCAGTAAGAAAATGATCTGCCAGAAAGTGTGCCTGACTCTTGCTTCTGAATTAAAAAACCTATGCTTTACTCTCTGCAGCTCACCAACCTAAAGAACATGGAGTGATGTATCCTGCAGCTCCAGAAGCAACAGCCATTACCTCTTCTCTGATGTTTGGTTATTAATTCTTTCCTACAAGGGTTACAATAGAACCTGTTGCAACTAAAAATTCAACTAAACCGAAGAATCTACTGACCCTAAAACCATCCAGAGCTGCTGCTGCAGGCAAGCAACAACACAGGAAGCACCCAAGCCTTTGGTTCAGGGCTACAACTACAATTTTCACCTGGCACAGAGCAGCTCTGCTCAGGCACCAAACATCCCAGACAGCCCAAATGCACACACTGCATGAGGCCACTACCCCAAGAATTAAGTCGTCTCCTGCTCAAGGACTGTGACCTCAACAGAAACATTACCTGACGTTTCAGTTGAACCCAAATGCCTTTTTCTTTCGCCTCCTTTTTCTTCCTTTCGTTTTCCTTCACACGCTGCAGAAAGCTGTCTCTGCTCTTGGAATGTTTAATATGCTCTATACGCACATTAATTCTCTTGGCCAGAATCTTGCCCCTAAGGAAGGCAGTCACTTTTTAATCTTCACTTGAAAAAGGTCACATTAAATCAAGACTTACAGAACTAACTCCATAAGCTCAATTACAGGTCATTTTTCTTTAAAGGGCAATACCTCAAAACACAGCTGCAGAGGCACATCAGATATAACTTACATATAACTACAAGATTATTACTGTTATTATATAACAGTGTGATATACAACAATGTGATGACAATTTCAAATTAAAATTGTGGAGAATACGTCATTTTAGCCTCTTAGCATACAAACAAGTAGTTTTATTACCAATGCACAGCAGTCAAGCTCCTGGAACCAAAAAAACCCCAACTTGTCTTTTTTTGACTAAAGAGTATAAAATTCACCTGGATACACCTACATACTAGTATTTTAAAAGGGCATCAATACCAGCACACTGGCTGAAAAGCCCTGCCAGGTAATGTGACTTTAGGCGCTGGTAAGAGAAACACAAAATGTTTCCTCTGACAGGATCCAAGTCAAATGAGCACCATTTGCTTGGGTTATAAAAAGGAAATACACTTTACCCACCTTGAATGACC